GGTTAATCTTAGGTAGTAGGAAACTGTTCTTGGGGTAAGCGCGATTCAAGTCAGTGAAGTCGATGTAGAGGCGCCACGTACCATTCAATTTCTCTACGAGGACCACATTAGCTAGTCAAGTTGGATAATATACCTCTTTGATTGCTTTGGCATGGATACATTTACTAACCTCCTTATTAATTGCCTTTTGGCATTTTGGGACAAAACTTATTCGTTTTTGCTTGATGGGCTTATAAGTTGGGTTTACGCTGAGCTTGTGCATGATGACCGAGGGGTCAATTCCTTGCATATCCTCTTGCTTTCAGGAAAACACCTCCAAATTCTTTCTGAGGAACTGAATAAAAAGGTCTTTGAGTTCTTTAGGTAGCTTTGATCCTACATAAATAACATGTTCTGGTTCTTCGTCTAGCTAGATTGGATCTGGCTCTTCCGAGGGCGTAGGTCTTGTCTCCAACTCGTCCCTCATATCCAGTTCTTCCAACTTGATGGCTTCAACTTCTTTCTTTCTCATTGATGCCATGTAGCATTCTCTTGCAACTCGTTGGTCTCCGCTGACTACTCATACGCCATTTTCAATGGGGAATTTTACAACCAAGTGATAGGCATTGAGGGAAGGTCTTTCTAGCAAGATGTTGTATACTGAGGGAGCATCAACTACTAGGAACCCCACAATGGTAGTTGATTGGTAAGGGGGATTCCCCATAGTGAGCACAAGTTGGATTACACCCATGGTTAGCACCATTTTTCCTGAAAATCCCAGTAGGTGAGTCCTTACTAGCTCGAGTTTGTCTCTGCCTATGTTCATCTAGTCGAAGGCTTAGGCAAAGATGATGTCAGTAGAGATCTCATTATCGATCAGGACTCGATGGATAGTTTTGTTGGCGATTTTGGCTTTTACCACCAAGGGATCATCGTGGGGGTGCTAGCAACCCTCTAAGTCTACATCTGAGAAAGTGATGTCTATGTTCAACCGAGGTGCCTTGGTCACAGTTTGCACTTCCAATATTTCTTTGGATCTGACCTTGCACATGTGGGCCTTTTTGGCTGAGCTGGTCTCTCATCCATTAGCAAATCCTCCTAATATTACCCTGATCTCCCCTAAGGGTTGTTGGTGTTAAGCTGGATGTTGTTGCTAAAGTGCCAGAGGTGGGTGAGCCTCATTCTGATTATCTTGCGCCACATAACGTCATAATTGCCCCCTGAATCAGGAACTCAATCTCTTTCTTTAGCTGGATGCAGTTGTCGGTGAGGTGGTCATGGTCTCTGTGGTACTTGCAATATTTCGTTGCATCCCTCTTTGATGGGTCTGCCTTCATCCGAGGTGGCCACCTCAGAAATTTCTCATTCCGCACTTCATAAAGGATCTGGGATATGGTGGCGGTGAGGGGAGTAAGCTATTGGTGTGCAAATTTTGGCTATAACTCTGGTTGTGGAGGACCTAGGCGATCCCTGATGCCTCCCCTCCTTTTGGGGGAACAGTCTCTGTTCCTTCATGGAGACTTGTCTTGGGTTGTCTCTTTCTTGGGACTTCGATCCCTCTTCTTTTTCTCTTTCTCTTTCCCTTGTGCATTGATAGACTTCCTACCTTTGAAAGGAGAGCTACTTCACCATTGATGTACATTTTTACCTTGGCGAGTACTTGTGTCATACTAGCTTGCGGGTTCTTGGATATGGAGAACATCAAGTCCTTTGACAAAACTTTCAGCCGGAAATGAAGGCTGTGATGGCAAACTTTTCACCAGGTACGTTTACTTTTATGATTCTGAATTGAACCTTTGAACATAAGTCTGTAGGTTCTCATTGGGTCCCTATTTTCGGTAAGTTCAGGCTCCTATGAAGTGAAACGAAGGGTATGAAGAGCTCTCTAAAGGATGAAATAGATGTTGGGGTCAGCCTGTTGAACCACGCTAAGGCTGAACCTTTCAATGTGATGGTAAAATCTCAGCAGCGTACAGGGTCCTGATATTCATGGAGTTTCATTTTATTCTTGTACGTGTTGAGGTTGTCCATGGGATCTTTTGTCCAATCAAAAAACTCCATTTCGGGCATCCTGAATTTCGGAGGAAGGGGAAAGCGCAATACTTCGACTGTAAAAGGGGACTCAGTCTGCTATACCAGGGTGTCCATGGTTATTGGAGTTTTGCCTCTTACAGTCTCCTTCATGTGGTTGAGCTCCTACTGTATATCCCTGAATCGTTGCTCCCAATATTGTTCTATTCTTTCCTGCTGGATTGGGGGGAGCTCATCTCTAGGAATTAAATATTTCTGACTCTGTAACTCTTCATAATCTTCATTTCCAGGGGCCCAGGGGTCATTACGCAAGGTCTGGCTGCGTTCTTCTCCTTCAGCAAAGTTTCTTAGGGGGTTGATTCAGTGACGTTCCCCCTATAGGAGATCATTATGGGCTGGTTACGCATTCTAGGGTTGTTGGAGGAGATTTAGCAATTCCTCATTTTGTTGAAGGAAACACTAGTTGGCTAGGCAAAAGGCCTCAAGCTCGTTATTAGGAGGATGATTCGCTATAGGAGGATCAGTTTCAGCGATGGGCAGGAAATCGGGTGGATTCTCTGGCTGTCTTCCACTGGTGGTCTCTTTCTGGTTTTGAAATCGTTGAGGATTCATCTGACTTCTGCTCATGTTACGCATAGAAACCATCAATTACTAAGGAAGATCAGCATATTTATATAAGGAACAGTCGTTCCCATAGACGGCGCCTACTGATGATATACAAAGCACAATTGAATAGAGTGGAGATAGTGGGTGATTTGACCCGAGTAAATCTGAGCTTCAAGGCTCTTTGGAATGGGGTTTATATGGGAAGGGGACCAATCGTATTGAGGAATTATAGTGGTTCACTAGCTCGGAGCTTGGCTAATCCACTCTTCAAAGGAGTCTCTTGCTCCTAGGAGGATCTATTGATAATGGGGGAGAAATTACACAATGTTCTTGGTTACTTGGGTTTCTTGCCTCATAGTGAGGGCCTTTTATAGTATTTATAGATAAATTCGAACTCCGCTAAATCTGAGGTGAGATCATTGCATCTTGTAACATTTGCTTGATTTAGACAGAGATTATGCAATGTGATGAGGGTGTGATGAGGGAATTATGAGTTTGGCGCCTAGGCTGGCGTCAGTTGCCATTGAGGAGATGCTTGGTAGTTGCCAGTTGTCTTCCCCTCTGTTTTCTCTAAGGTACAGGTCAAGGGGGATTGAGGTCTAGAACTCAGCTCAGAATTTTTGTGGCTGGGCTCCCGAACTGCCGATCTCAAACTTGGGGACTTTTATTAGTATCATCAGGCAAAGGCTTAGCAATAGGGATTGAACACAAATTTATTGCAGAATACGGCGTGTGTATTATGTAAGGAAACAACAGAATCACACTCCCACAAGTTCTTTGACTGTCTATACTCCCAAAGTATGTAGATGCACCTAAGGAAGTTAAATATATATCCTTCGGGGGAGGGATGGATCTTGGTATGAGTATATCGCATGGGCTTTACATCAATGAAAAGGAAAATCCCCTGGATGTGGTATTGGGGATACTTAGCCTTGCAGTGATAGTCTACCACCTCTGCAGAGAGGGGAGTGACAGAATTTTTTTCAAATCCGTTGATTGATGGAATCTGCCTAATAAGGTGTGTAATCCAAGGAATCGGAGATAAAATGGCTGCCCTAAACTTCAAGGACTTCCCACAGAATCAGTTGCTGATCACCATGATGGCAGCTCCCAAGTAATTACGTAGTATAGTTTCAACTGGATTGAATGAGACTTTTTGTTTATTTGCATGGGGGAGGGAAGTCTCTCTGCACTGATTGATTATTTTACAGGCTCATGGGGGTTTTAATTCTTATTTCACTAATTGTCTGAACAATGAACCTAATAAGGTGTTATAATCAGTGCTCTGGTTGTTATGAACTCAGTCATTCCTCGCCTTCCATACGTAGTAGACAGCAGTGCATAAGCACAGCTTCAGTAAGACACTAAGCATCAATTTTTCTCTCCAATGTTGTGCTGCCTATGACACAATTTCATTGAAACAAGCATCTGGCAATTGTAGCTGACAAGAGTTGCAACAGCTTCATATACTCAAAAAAACAGTAGTTATCCCAAGGGTTGTGAGAGGATTTGGTTTTTTTTGCCCGTAGGTGTTTACTCCTAAAAAGAGGGTATGTCATGAGCAATTTGCCTAAGGGCATGCTCAGTTTAGCCTTAAGGCAATGGAACTTTATTGTTTATCTTATTTTTTTCCTGAATAAAATTATTTTACTTACCAAATAAAAAACACGTGGTTATGAGATTCATGTTAATGTCCACAAATTGAACATTCCAATCCCAGATGGGCAGCAAAACAGTGCATTCTTTGAACTCTAATGGCCTACACCAGAGCGTAAGACCCATCCTAGGAATAAACTCTCTGAAACATACAAGTTTCTGCAAAAGCCACAGGTCGGGAAGGGGACCTAATCTGTTTTCAGGCTAAAGTTAAAGAAAATTTCCCATTAGGGGTAGTCATAAGCCATTTAACAAAATCCCTCAAATCACTCTTCAAGTGCTCTATCACCTGTTTCTTCTGGAACAGAGGATTTAAAGCTTGATGGATTTAACATGTTTGATGCATTTAACCATCTTAGGGGAATGCCCACCACAACTTGCAAAAATTCAAAAAAAAAAAAAAAAAACATAACAATTTAAAGATAATAGAAGAAATATTGATATCAAGAAATATGTTTGCATTGAGTAACTTCAAACAAGAGATATGTAAAACTGAGAGAATATTAATTACAATTTGCTCACTCCAGTTCAGATAATTTCTGCTAGAGGAAAAAACCGTCTACAAGACAAAAAAAAAAGGACAAACAATCGTTTCATGGCCCTATTTTCAGTAAGTAATACCTACACTAAAGCAAAATATTACAAATCAAAATAAGAATCCTAATCGTAGATCTGATCATAAGCCAAAAACTCCAGTGCTTTTGCCATTCCCACCCTCTTCTCCACATCTAAACCACGACATGAGCGAGACACAGTTGCAAGTTCACCCGGAAGGACCATAACTGCACCACCATACCTTCTTCGAGTCCATTCTTCGACAAAACCTCGTTCCAATTATTCACCAACACATAAATTGAGCTCGTTTTCATTTCCCACTTCCTCAAGTGTATGTAACAGTCGTCAAGGCATGGCTCAATCAACTTCACTTTCAATTCTGATTCGTTCAAAAGCATCTTCTCCTCCGGAGTGAGAAAATCGTTTTTGATTTGCTTCCGTGGGATTGATAAACGGCCATGGTTTCGGCTCAAATCTGTCTTGTACAATGGCTTCTGAATGATCAACATCTCCTGAGAACCACCCATATTCTGAATCAGATTTTTGAACTGTACAGGCAAGTTTAGGGGTAGAATTTCTGGTATTGCAGTCATGTTCCTCCTGACCTTTTTCTTTGCCCTAGTCTCTTCTTGATCTGCATGTTTCCTTTCATGGCGTCGGCGTTTCAAGCAAGCCTTTATGGCTTCTGTGTCAGGTTTCTTGATCATCTTTTCTGTTACCAACCCTTTTCCCAAGTTGGTAACAAGAGAATGTGACACAGGTTTCCCCAAAAACTTCGCTGAAATCAATCTTTCACCCTTGAACTCGTCATCTGGGACTATGAAAGTGTTTTTCTTGGACGATTTATTTGTCAGGTTTCTATACATGTTAGTTACTTGGGCTACAAAGGATCGTTGCTGAAGAGTTGTGATTATATGGGTAATGATATTCTTTTAAGGAATGTTATTGGGACGTAATGAGTCGTCAACAATGATATAATAATGAATTCATTTAATATTATAATAACACTCGTTATTAAATACATTTCAGTATCACTTCATTGGTGACAATTCATTATGTTCTTAAATTATGTCCATAAATTATGTTCCAATAACATTAGTGTATCTTTTTAATTAATATCGGAGATCAACTCGTAATGGGTCACTGACAAATATACCCACCAATCATAAACATTCATTCATATCAGCCGAGGTGTGTGTGAGATTAATTACGTTGGCTTCTAGGTTTTTGCTTTCCTAATCCAAATAGAACATTAAACACATGTTATATATATGAGTAATGCTATTTGGACCTAAAAATTTGACCTAATTTGCTGAGATAATGATGTGACTTAATAAGAATCATTGAATCAACACCAAGTTCCAAAGTGATAACTTGCTACATTTTGAAAATAACAATGTTATTTGTATTTAATTTAATGATTTAATTTATTAATCTAATGAATCACTATTATTGGATCGACAATAAATCTCAAAATTAATTGGAACCCACTGCCAATATTCAATAATTACAATATATCCGATTAACAAATAAATTAATTAGGTTCAAATAATATTTTTCTTTCATACAATTGTCCACATTCAATTGGTATCTTGCTTAATATCAAGAAGTATAAATTGGGAAGGGTATGTAGGGCTATTCACCCTATCCTACGGATAGGAAATATGGTCTTTCGTCTTCTTACCCGATATTTTGCGAAAGAATTTTTTCTTGGTCTACCCTATCCGATCAAGTGTGGTGTTCCTATCCGACTTTTGACCAAATTAATCAAGTAGGAAATCAAGTGAACATTTTTGTAATTATTAATTTTTGGATCATTTTAGCAATTTAATTAAATAACATGCACTAATTTAACAATATAATAAACCAATAACACTAAAATCTAAAACAATTACAACAACAATTACAATAAAACACATGAAAACATAAATATCAATCCATCATAATTGTTGCACAAATACAATAATAATTATTTTAAGTTTAAATCGTATATATATATACAGTCGAGAGACTAAAAACTCTTCTGTTTTCCTACCCTATTTTTTCAGCTAGTCGTTCGATAGGGTTGGATAAGGTCGAATAGGATAGAAAACTACTGCTAATCGGAAACTTGAACACCCCTAAGCGCATGTGTTATCTGTGGCACGACTCCTCTGCTGTTGGAGAAAAGAGCGTTGTGTGCTATTAGAACAAAACGACACCGTTGTAATAAGGTTTTTATTTCCAAAATTTTTCCACCACAAAAACAGATCATTGAAACACACACACACACACACATTCTCTCTCTCTCTCTCATTTTCTACAGACCCACGAGTTACACTTAAAAGTAAACACTCTCTCTCCACCCAAGTAACCTTTCATTCTCTATATTATCCTATCTCGTATTTCCTCTCTCTTCTCTCCTTTTTCAAGATCAAGCAAACACAAGAAATTTACCCAGTCATGGCAAGCAAAGCATAAATTAATCTGAAGTGGAGATATGTGAAAATATTGGATCTTTTAACAATTAAAAAAAAAGAAAGAGATGGAGGATTTTAGAGAAAGTGAGCACCTGGAAAAATTTTAGACTCACTTGTTCGCACAAAATTCGTGTTTCATTTTCTGGGATAATTGGGACATTATTTCTCCATGAGACAGAGGTAAGGTATGGGTTTAAATAGACCTGAAGAGGTATAAAAGACTATGCATGATTAAGACAATTAATGAGGCCACGTATCGTAAAGCATGTGACAAGAAACATGTACAAGAGGCACATAGGAAACTACAACTTCCACTATAACCAACCAAGTAGATGGTCAAAGTGATCGGCTAAATAAGTCGAGATGTCAATATGACCGAATCAAAAGCAAGACCGAGCAAATCTCGCCAACGGTCTTCCAAATGGGATCATTCAGTAAATGAGATACCTAGGCTATCCCAATAAACTAGAGAACGTTGTCTAGGCTCTCCCAATAAACTAGATAAGGTTAAGCTGATAAGAACGTTGCCTAAATCATAGGTAAACATTATCAACGTACCCTAACTAATGGACAAATGACAGAAAGTTGGGAGAAATTTCAAAATTAATCGAAAGTAATCCGGCTAAGAATTAGGTGTGCCATCTAATATAGCCAATATCTGAAATGTTGGTAGAATAATTGTCATGCAATGCTATAAATAATGGGTGATGCTTGAGTCTAAGGTATGCATTCTAATCCAGCAACCTTCGTTGCTTTCTTTCAGAATCCTTACTGACTTAAGCATCAGAATGTCTCTGACCGGCCCACTTCCAGTCTTTGGCAATTTATTTGTTTTGCAAAATGAACAATGCAACCCTTGTTCATTCTTTCTCAATTAAATCGAAATCAGAAGGTAAGAGATTTTTTTTCTCTTACATTTGGCGCCGTCTGTAGGAAACTGTGAAAGAAAGAAAGTCATAGCAAACTTGCGAAGTATAATCGGACCCTTGCCCGAAACTACCAAGTGTCATTTCCCTCAAATTGTGACATTAGAGAAGAAGTTGCGGGGAGTTTGGGCGGGGATCACGAAACCCCTGACAAAATGTCGTTAGAGGGATACTACCCTCGAGGCAAGACCCACAAAAATGAAGGATACCAAGAGAGATCTCCACGTATCGATGGGGAAATATCAACGTTTATGAAACTAGTCATGTTTCTCCAAGACTGGTTGGATGCTAACGACAATATGCTGAAAAAGTCTCAAGAAGGGATAGAGAAACTGCGGCAAGAAAATGAGGTGCTAAGGATGGCCTTAAGAAAGTACAGGGATCATAAAGCCTATAAAGCATCAAATCGCCGCACAAAGGAAAAACATGAGCCCATCTATGTCGAGTCGAGTCCTAGCCTAGAAAGACATAGAGGATGGCAAAGAGAGGACACCCGAGACAAATTTGGAAAGAATAAATCTACTAGGGTCGAGGAGCAAGAGGACACTTGGAAGTAGTTTATAACAAAAGAGCTCGATAGTAGACTAAAAAAGCCCGAACAAAAGTTTGTTAGAGAGCAAGAAAGAAGGGCAACAGGTGAATACATTAGGAGAATTGAGGTATCCCACTTTAGCAAATGGATATAAAGCCCAACTATAACCGATATGACTATGCCTCCCAATGAATAAGCCTTTTTTGCCATAAAATCCAATTAGTAGAGCTATCATAGGTATCAATTTGTCCCTTCTGATGTTTAACTTATCAAAGATAGGAAAAAAAATAATATCTGTCGAGCTCCCACTATCAATCAAGACCCTTCTTACTGAGTAGTTAGCTATGGTTAATGTAACTACTAGGGGATCGTTATGGGGGTGCTGAACTCCACCAAGGTCCTTGTCTAAAAAAGTAATTGGGGGATCCGACCGAGCTTTTTCCCTAGATTCATAAAGCTCACCTCCAGCTCGGCCTTCGCCTTATGGACATGGGCTCATCTAGCGGAGGTGTTCTCTCGACCTTTAGCGAACCCTCCAAAGATCACAATGACCTCTCCAACTGGCTACTTGTTGGCGCCTCATCTCGATTAGGTTGCACCTGCCCCCTCTCCTGTCACCTACGCACTATGTACCTTCTGAGGTTTCCCTTCTGGATAAGGTCTTCGATTTGATCCTTGAGAACCAGGAAGACCTCAATATTATGGTCATGATCTCGATGGAACCTATAGTATTTACCCCTTGACCTTTTACTAGGAGGGGTTCTCATTTTCTAGGCCACTTGAGGACCTTTTCATTCTAGATTTGATAAAGGATCTGCTCTATAGAGGTTTTTAATAGTGTATACTTGTGTGCTGGCTCATTTGTGGTTCGGGGGCCCAAGCAGCACCTTCCACTTATACGCTCTAAGCAGCTCTTCTTTGGGCTGCTCCCTCACTTGCCTCGATTTTCTTGATCTCATTTCTTCCTTTCTTCTCGTTTGTCATCCTTCTAGTCCTTCTGGTTTCTTTGAGCGAGGAGGGTATCCTCGACATTCATATAACACTAAGTTCTTGATAAAAACTCTATCATGGACAAAGGTGGTTCTTTAGAAAGGGAGAAAAGGAACTCGGATGACTGAAGACCTCCCATAAAGGCAATAAGATCCACCTTTTCATCCACATTATCAACCTTAAGAGATTTCGTGGTGAAACGACTAACATAAGCTCTAAGCGACTCGCCTCTAGTTTATTTCACACCCAGGAGATAAGTGAGAGATCTCAGATAGGCCTAACATCTAATAAGTGTGAGATAAAGGAAGTGCTGAGCTCCCCAAACGTATACATAGAGTTGAGCTTTAATTTGTTAAACCATTGTCATGTAGTTCCCTTTAGGGTGTTTGCAAAAGCCCAACACATGATCTGGTCTGGAATATTGTGAAGCATCATTAGAGACCTGCAGGTCTCTAAATGGTCTAGAAGATCCTTGGTCCCATCGAAGCTCTCCATTGTCATCATTTTAAATCTCTTAGGAAGTGGATAATCGGGATATGTCCTAAATGAGGAGGGACTTTGAATGTTGTATCAAAGCCTCAATAGCCTCGGGAGCTCAAGCCTTCACTATATTTATGACATTTTCGAGCTTCTTGTTGACCTATTGGAACTCTCGTTCACACTGGTCATTAACTTGTGAGCGCACGACCTCGCTCTAGCTCTGTTCTTTATTATAGTTGAAGAACTTTATGTCAGCTGTCAAATCATCTTCTTGGCCGACAGAATCTGGTGAATAGTTTTTGGGATCAATAGTTGACTCCATTTATGGGAACGACAATTATGTTTTGAATATTATAAACCTCTAAATCCCATTATTATCACCCGATCAAAGGAGCCGAAGGTAGATCAGAATCACCCTCAAGTTCTCATCCAACAAAATGAATAACAAAAGCGCCATTAGAAAATGAGTTGACAAAAGT